TGATGGCACACAATGTTCATTTGCACCATCATTGATAATGCAATAATAGTTTGCCAAATATTAATTTCTATCTCATCCTTTTTCTCAGTTCCCTTGGCCATAGTAAATTGCTAGAAGAGTGAGTTAAATCAGCCACAACCCAGAGAAGAAGCACTCACTTTCAAAAATGTCTATAGTCCAGTGTGTGTTTGGTCTGAAACACAGATCTGTTGGGTCCATTCCGGGGCTCAGACCATCACCACGTGCAGCTGAGTGTTCTTTACTCAGTAAACCATGGGTTCCCTTTACTCTTCTGCTTGTGCTTTTAAGAAATTTATAAGAAGTTGTACTTTTGTGTTTATGGATTTGTTCTCATTTTATAGGTGCAGATTACCAGTCCAGGCTTGTTCCGTATTGAATATATCACAGAAAGACATAAATGCCAATATCCAGAAACCATTATATCTTTTATCAAATGTGTGATTCATAACTTTTGGACACCAAAGGAGTCTAATGAAATAACCATAATTATCAATCCATATGGAGAGACTGTATGTTTCTCTGTGAAGCCTGTAGGGAAGATATTTATCTTTACAATAAAAGTGAATCAAAACAGTGAGTCTGTTTTTATTATACTGGACTTATTTTTTCTGGGGTGATAGTTCAGTAAATTAATTTTTCTTTCTAACATTACATTGACACAAAATCTTTGTTTCTTCTATGTGTATATGTGTGTCTATGTGTGTGTGCTTTCTTTTACCACAGTCATGGATTTCAGTCTCTTCCTTGTGTTTGTGGCGGGCATTTTCCTCTTCTTTTATGCAAAGAGCTTGAGTCAGTAAGTATTAATTCTTACTTTCTTAATTTTAAAAAGAGTTTAGGATGTTTTTGCTGTATATTAAATATTTCTGCACTGCTATGCATTTGTAGTTCTTGTTTACAGTCTCTTATTGTAGGTTTTGCAGACAATACATCTGAAAATAGTGCTTAAAATACCTTTTCAAACAGTAAAAGTTATTTGTATAGCATGATCTGTGTATGTTACAAAGTGCATAATCATGCATGATTATATTTTATCTATTAACATATGTTATTCGATTTGATTTGATCGTAACAGCTCTATGAGCTCTGTGTTACTGTTCTCATTTTATAGATGAAAAAAACCAACATCCATCATCACACAACTAATTCTTGCCAGGCCTAACATTTATATTCAGGTTTTCTGATGCCAGATGCTTTACTCTTTCTGTTACATTAAAGCTGCTTCCTAGATTTGTGGCTCTGATGCGCAAGGTTGAATTTAATAAACATCTGATAAATATATTATTCTGATATTTTGCCTTTGCAGCTTTTCATAGAAAAAGAGTCTCTTTCCAATAATATTTTATTTCTTAGCTTGCTCTTGTTTGTTAGTTCTCATGCTCATAAATAGTATTTGGTAACTATACTTAACATTGTTCATTTTCTAGCTTTCCTCAGAATACAACCAAGTGTGTTTCATGTCATCTATTGGTTTTATAAACCGTAGAGTGCATAACAGCCTGAGGGGAAAGCCTGGAATCAGAGGAGCAGGGCTGAGACCTGAATCTTCCTTTCATTACACACTAGCTTCTGCTTGTCTTGGTTTCCTCCTCTGTAAAGTTTAGGTGGATAGCTGTTTCCCAGGGTTGTTGTGAGTGCATGTGAAGCTCTCCGACAGCATTAGCTACATGATAAGTGCTCAGTAACTAATGTTGAATCAAACTCTGAATATAGACAGTAACTCAGACATTCTGTTTTATGTAGTGGCAAGCTATTGACCATAAATTTTAAGTACTGATTTCATCTTTTAAGAGTAGGGGGTGATATAGAAACTTGGGTGGCATAGCGTCTAAGGTATTTGACTGCTAACCAGAAGGCTGGCAGTTCAAACCCACCAGCCACTCCTTGGAAGGAAGAGTTAGCAATCTACTTCAGTAGAGATACCGCCTCAGAAACCCAAGGAGGGGTCGCTATGAGTCGGATCCAACTCAATGGCAGTGAGTTTGTTTTTTCTTTCATAGGGTGATATTAGAGGCCATCTGATGTTTTTCTTTCTTAATATTCCTTATGGCTATTATCATTAATTTGAACATGGTTTTTAATACTTAAAGTGCTACATGGCATTTAAATAACTTTTATCTGCTTGTCTTCACAGAAGCCCTATTTTCTACTACTTTTCGGGGACTATGCTAGGTATTCTGATGACATTTGTCTTTGTCCTGCTCTTGGTGAAAAGGTTCATCCCAAAGGTAGGCATCTTATGTGCAAATGAATAAAACAAAAACCATGATCTCATAAATACACAAAATCGATCAAAAGTGTTTTGCATTGATTGCCAGCTCCTAATTCAACCTGTTTCTTCATTGTATACTCTCCTTTAAAGTGTATCTTTTTCTAAAGAGTCCATTTTATTTATTACTATATGTAGGCTTGACTAAGTATTAAGTTTTGGTGATTCTTTTTTTTTTTTTGAGACATTTTTATTTTCTAGGTAATGTGTTTTTAAGGAGCTTGGTTACACAGTGGTTAATGCTTGGCTGATAACTGAACAGTTGGCAGTTTGAACCTACCGCTGCTCGCTGGGAGAAAGATGTGGCAGTCTGCTTCTGTAAAGATTTACAGCCTTGGAAACCCTACGGGGCAGTTCAATTCTGTCTTACTGGGTCACCATGGGTCGGAATCGGCCCGACAACAGTTTAGTTTGGTTTGTAATGTGTTTTTGCTTAAGAGTGACAGGCTGATTCTATGCTGAGTGAAAATTTCTCTTGTCTTGGCAGAGCTTAGAATTGAATAACACTGAAAAGTCAGGGCCTTGAATTACAGCACTGCCACATCTAGGGATTTCTTTGTTATTATTAGTTCTCTGAAGCACCTTCGATAGATTAATACCCTGCATTTAGTTGAGGATAAACACATTTAATCCATGGTGATAATGTTGCAATTACTCTGATTAAAGCTTGCAACACAGAATTATTTTGAGATAAATTTATTCTTTGGAGTAGTGCATCTCCAACTTTAATGTGCATGCAAGTTGCCTGGGGAGCTTGATAAATGCACATTCCGTTCAGTAGTCTGGAGTGGGGCCTTCGAGTCTGCATTTCTGACAAGTTCCCAGGTGGTGCCATGCTGCTGGTTGGTGAGCCACACCTTAAATACCAAGGCTCTAGAGATTAGCTTAGACTGACATCAATTCAGTTTGATGTGTAAGTTTCTAATACAAAGGGTTTATTTGTTTACTAATATTTTTATGAGAATGAATGAACCAAAAAAAAAAAAAAATGTGTCATTTATTTTTTTCCATGCACAGTATAGCACGTTTGGGGCTCTAATGGTTGGTTGTTGGTTTGCTTCCGTTTACATTTTAAGCCAATTGATGGATGATCTGAAGTGGCTGTGGTATGAAAACAGAATATATTTATTAGGTAGGTGAATTTTAAAATATACATTCTATTTTGGTAAAGCCAAACGTACAGCTAGAGGTGTTCTTTTGATATAGCTTCTCCCCAACATCTAAATTTCCAGAAGGGCTTTGAAAAAGTAGTATTTATTTTATTCCCACACTTGGTGATTTCAGCTCATTTTTATCTCATTTTAGACAATTTCCCATGACTTCTGTCTTAGTACAATACTAATGATCAAAAGAATAAGACAATATTTTATTTGCTACTGAATTGTTGTTAAGCTCTAACTACATCGAACTTGTAAAAAATTCTCTACAATGTGGCTCTTCATTTCTGCCTCTTAATGTAGTCAGCGTGGAAGATGAGAAATCCTAAATAAAATGACAAATGAAAACTTGACTTTTCAGAAACAAGGAGGCTGTTAAGAAAGGACTCATTCTCATTTCATGTTGCAAAAGCAAGACAGCTTTTTATTATTGTTGTTGTTAACTGAGAAATAATGGAGAA